TTAGTGGCCTCAAAAAACGGTCGGGGAGACAGAGGGGGGCGAAGGGGGGGGGCAACCGACTGGGGGTAGGGGAGGTGCGGGGGGTGGGAAGGGGGTGGGGATGGCGTACTGAGGGTCAGCTCCTCGTTGGCTGTAAAGTCCATGGCGGGGGGCTGCGCCAGTGAGAGAGGACTGTGGTGGTGGTGGGGTGGTGGGTTGCCCTTGGGCCGGTGGGTGGGGGGGGGGGGGGGGGAGGGGGGGGACGGAGGGGGGGAGGGGTTTGGTGGTGGCTGGCTTCGTTGCTGACGAAAACGGGTGCTGTGAAAACGACAGGTGCTGCTGTTGAGACCACTACTTCTTGTCTACAAACTGCCTACGATTCTCTGCTACGACAACTATGATGGTGGTTACTGCTACGCATCAAGCCCGATGCCCGAGGTATCGAGGCTGGTGTCGAGGGTGATGCCCGAGATGTCAAGGGCAAAGGCCGAGGCATCAAAGGTGGCGTTGGGGACGAGGACCGAGTCGTCGACGGCGGCGCTGACCGGAGCAGCTGCATGCGCCCTGGCGTGACCGTTGGTTGCCTCGGTTGGGGTGTCGAGGGTGAGATTGCCGGTGCCGAGATCGAGGGCGGTGGAAAAGTCACCGGCACCAGCGGCGGTAATTCCGGTGTCGAGCGAGGTTGACATGCGCGCGGTGGCGCGGCGCGACGCGTACGCATCGTTGTTGGCACTGCGGCCAGACTTGGCGCGCCGGAGGGCCGACTCGGCGGTGCGACGGGCCGCGCGCTCGGTTGCGAGATCCTCTTCGAGATCGTCGACCTGCGTCGTCAGCCGTTTGACCTTGCGCTCGAGACGCATGACCTTGCGCTCGGCGTTGGCCTGGTCGTCGGCGTTGGCCTCGGCTTCGGCTTCGATGCGCACCAGCTTGGTCTCGGCCGACGTCCTCAGCGACTCCTCGTTGAGCAGTTTGGCGGTCAGCGCCGAGAGCTTGCCCTCGTAGAGCGCCCGCAGCTCGTCAAGCTCCTCCTCAGACGCTCCGGTGTTGGCCTCCAGGTCGGCGATGGTGGCGCGGAGTCGACGCTCGCGACCCGACGCTGCCGCCTCGGCCGCCTCGAGCGCATCGTGTGCCTCCTCGGCCTCACTCCGCGCGCTGGCGAGTTTGCGCTCGAGTTTGCGGATCTTGTTTGCGGCTGCCTCGGACTCTTCGCTCAGTCCGGCAGCCCGGCCCTCGGCCGATCGCGCGCTAGCCTCAAGAGTGGCCACCGCTGACTCGAGGCTCGCAATCTTAGCGCGCGATTCGGTCTCAAGCGCCGAGAGCGCAAGCTGCGCCGTCTCGGCCTCGTCACGGGCGTCCGCGAGTTCGCGCTGCAACCGGGTCAGCTGGTCCTTGGTCAACGTTGCCGCTGCCCGCTGTGCGTCCTCCAGCTCGCCCTGGGTCTCGTCAAGTGCAGCCTTGGTCTGGCTCAGGCTCCGCTTGGTCGACTTGATCTTGTCGTTGGCCTCGTCGAGCTCGGCCTCGAGCTCGGCAACCCGTGACGCCGACCGGGCGGCAGCAGCCTCAAACGGCGTGAGCCGTGCAACCTCGGCCTCAGCCCCGGCCTTGGCTGACTCGCTGGCGGCAAGAAGGGCAACCAGCCGCGCAATTTCGGCTTGTGCATCAGCAAGGTCTGCTGCGCTGGCCTCGGCCTCGGCGATCTTGGCCCTGAGCGCGCCGTCGAGCTGGCGCTTGTCCGACTCGGCCGCAGCGAGTGCGGCCTGCGTCTCGGCCAGCGAGTCGCGAGTCGAGCTGAGCTCGGTCTTGGTCGACGCCAGCACTGTTTCCTTGTCGGCAAGCGCGTCCTCGGCGGCGGCGATCTCGGCGGCGGCGGCTGACTGCGCGGAAGCGAGTGCGGCGTTGGCCTCGGCCTCGAGCGCGGCAAATTGCTTCTTGAACCGCGACTCTTCGCGCTCGCGGCGCTCCTGTTCGGCCTTCATCTGCGAGGCGAGCGCCGAGGCGCGGGCCTCGCGCTGGAGCTTGGCGTCCTTGCGAGCCTGCTCGCGGGCGGCCACACGGGTGGCGCGTGCTTTCTCGCGGGCAGCAGCCCGGGCGGCAGCAGCGTTGTCGCGGATGGAGGCAATGCGCGCAGCTTTGAGCTTGGCGCGGGCGGCGTAGTGCGACTTGTAGACCAAGAAGGTACGGACGTACTTTTGCAGCAGAGTGGCAGCGCGGCGGGTGGCGAGGTACTTGCGGCGGGCGGCGTAACCGCGGTAGACCGACTGGATGGTCCGCGCCGCGACAAAGGTGCGAAGCGGGCCCAGCTTGGCCAGCGCACCGGTGGCGAGGACGTGGACGGCCGAGGAGGCGGCGATGAGGCGCTTGCGGGCGCGGAGCCGCGCAACGCCGCCCTTGATGCGGTTGATGGCGAGTGTGGCGTACTGCAGCCGCAACATGCGCTTCTTGTGAAGCCAGACTTGGACCTTGGCCACAATCTCTTCGGCAATGCCCTCGTCGGACGACATGATGCGGTCGAGGAAAGCCATCTTGCCGGCGCGAAAGAAGACTTGAGTGAGGCCGAGCTGAAAGTCGCGGCGGTCGAGCTCGAGGGCAAACAGGAGCGCCTCGCAAAAGACTGCAGGCTCGAGGCGAGCCAGCGCCGGCGGCATGAGATGCTTGTACAGGGCACAGAGCTCGGTAAACTTGCAGCGAGTCGGATACCCAGTTTGCATCAGCAGCAGCGCCTCGAGCATACCGGCGCAGCGGAGCTGGTGGATGATCGAGACAGTGTCAAACTTGGCCGGCACCTGCTCCGAGTTGGGCTTGATGCAGCGGATAAAGTTGGATGATGTCTCATGTAGCCGGTCCATGAGCTGGAGCATTTGCTTGCGGAACTTGCCACCGACGGTCAGCGAGCGGGTCTTCTTGGCAGTCCCAGCCCGTTTGCGCGGCGCAGCTGACGGGCCGTCACCGCCGTCGGCAGGCACCGCCTCGGGTGTCGGCTCGGGCTCGGGTGGCTTGAAAATCGAGTTGGCGATGAACGGGACCGACGACGAGGTGACAAGATCAAGGAGGTCCGGATGGAGCGCATCGTGATTCTTGTCGAGGAAGCCGTCGGTGGAGTAGCAGACGTCGCCGGCAAAGTGGCGGATGACAAAGGCCTCGTCGGCCTGGTGCCGCTTTCCAGAGGGAGTCTTGAACTTGCGGGGATCGAGCATGCGCGGGTGGGCGTCGTGGGCAGCGTGGATGGCCTGAGTAAAACGGACGTCCGAGGCCTGCGGCAGACGGCACTGCTCGTCGAGGATAGATACGACACCGCCCTTGGGGAGCTCGATGAGGTCGATGATGTCCTGGTTGTCGCGAAAGGCAATCTCCTTGTACCGGATGCCCTCCTTGGTGTAGAGCTGCTGCTCCTGGTCGAGAATTTGCTCGTTAAAGTGCTGCTGCAGCTTCTCGTTGGCGTAGTTGATGCAGAACTGCTCAAACGAGTTGACCTCGAAAAACTCAAAGCCAGCGATGTCGAGGACGCCAATGTACGCCGCTGACGAGTCGAACGGGAGCGAGAGGTTGATCCGCTGCACAATCCAATCAAACATAGCCGAGTAGATGGCCTTGGCCAGTGCGTCGCGCGCGTGCTTGGCCTCCTCCTCCGACAGCGGAATGCGGAATGACTCCTTCTTTCCGCGTACCTTCATCATCCGCCCAACAATCCGTTCCGAGAGCGCCACCGGTGAGGTGCCAAGGTACTGGGCCGCCGCCGCCAGCGCCGGGTCGTCGGCGGCAACTTCCGAGCCGTCGCCGCGCTTCTTGGGCCCGATCCGGATGTTGCCGAGGTGGAGGACACCGGCAACAACCTTGAACACATCGAGCTGCTCCTCGGGCGACATGCCGACGCAAGTCATCGACGCCACCGTCCGCGCGTACGACGAATCTTCCGGAAACGCCGGAATCGGCTTGCACTCGGACCGGTTGAGATAGTAGTACTCGGAAGCAGGGCCGAGACCGAGCTCGTCGCGCATCTCGGCCGGAGCTCCGCCGCAGAGCTGGTAGAAGATGTGGTAGTTGCGCTCCGATGGGTTCTGGTGGACAATGCGCGACTTTTCCAGCAAGTACGTCGAGATGGCGGCGCCGACAACGCGAGCGTTGCCATCAAAGTGGATCTCGGTAAACTTGCCGAACCGCGAAGAGTTGTGGTTGCGCGTTGTCTTGGCATTGCCAAACGACTCGAGCAGGGGGTTAGCCTCCACAATCCGCGTCTCAATCACGCCGCCCAGATTGAGGTCGCCACCCACTGCCGCCAGATACCGCATGACAATCTTGCAGGTCTCGGTCTTGCCGGCGCCCGACTCGCCGGAGACCAGGATTGACTGCGACATCTTGCTCGTCTTCATCGACCGGTACGCGCGGTCAGCAATGGCAAAGACCGACGGCGGCATGAGCCCAATCGACTTGCCGCGGTACGTCTCCATGATTTCGGGCGTGTAGATGTCGAGCGTCTTGTACGGGTTGATTGCCAGCAGAATGTACGCCGTAAAAGTGTAGATGTTGTCCTGCGCGTACCGCTCCCGCAAGTTGTGCACGAGATGCGGCTCGTGGAGGTACATCAGCTGCGTGTTGTCCTCTGCCCCATCCTGGCTCGCCGGGTTGAGCGGATACACCTGCCCGGCCGCAAGGCTCAGCTCCTCCCCGCCGTCGGCCGGCGCCACCGCAAACACCGCCTCGGCGCCCTCGCCCTCTACGCCCACCACCGTGCCTCGCGCATATCCGCTCACCGCCTCAGGGTACCACACTTCCACCCCCTGTCACCGCCCCGTCCGTCCCGCCCCCAAACGCCAGCGCCCTCGCCCCCTGTAAGTCGCGCTCCCTCACCGCCAGCGCCTGTCGCCTGCTCGCCGGTTTCCCACGAAAAACTCACGCAGCCACAGGCCTGGCCGCGGCAAGCATGTGGGCCACGGGTCGCCGCCACATGTGCATCCACAGGGAGTGTGTGTGTGGGGGGGGGGGGATGGAGAGAGGGGAAAGAGATAGGGAAACATGTGGGTGTTGTGCTTAGGCGTACCGTCTCCAGGGCATCAAACAGTGCCACGTCGTTGTCCGGCATGGCCCGTCCGGGGAAGTGGCGAGAGAGTGCAGTGAGAGCCATTGAGAGGCAGCCGCAGCCGCCCACGGCACCCACGGCTGCCAGTGAGTGCCCTCTCCACCGAGGAGATGGCTCGAGGGCGCTTCAGCAACGAGTGGATGGGTGGATCGGAGAGGACATTGACAACTCCCCCCCCCT